TACGCCTAGTCCCTACCATATTAAGTACAACACACTGGACTAGAGGTGTATTATCTGATCCTTAACAACGGATTCTCCTACTGGGTGGCGGCGGTTGTACGCTCCCTCAACGTCTGGACACCTACGAATTTTAAATTGTTTTTTGTTTGGCTTTTGTTTTTTGGCCTACTTTTGGCAGCTGCTGAGCACCCGTCCATGACCCTAGGGTACTCCCCTTAGTCTAGGTGGAGTATCACTGACTGTTTTTTGGGGGTTTTTGGGTAGAAACTTCTCGGGACAATGTTGTTGTTTTGGTTATTGTGTTTCCCAGGGAAGAGGGGTTCTATGGTTGTTGTGGGATCCTGGGGGGTTGTGTGTCGCCCTGCACCTCGCTTACACCCGGAGAGGGACTGGTCCCTACCCGCTTGTATTGACAGGTATTATGGGTTTGGATGACATTAAAGTATTATCCTGGAATGTACGAGGTGAGGGTGACAGACCCACCTCTGGTTCTGCAGGAGTTTCATGCATACTATAAAGAGCTTTATTCACACATTCCTGAGTATGACCTGGGTGCCTTGCAGGACCTGTTGGGTGAGCTTACTATCCCTCAGTTAGCTGATGCAGACCGAACATTACTGGAAAGACCTATTACCCTGCAGGAGGTACAATTGGCTATAGCCTCATTCCCTAACGGCAAGTCCCCTGGACCCGATGGCTTCCCGGCTGAGTGGTATAAAAAATATGTTGATTCTGTTGGACCAAGGCTCAGGGACCTCTATATTGATTGTCTGGAGATGGGGGTTCTGCCCGACTCCTTCAGAGACGCCCATGTGGTGTTGCTGCCGAAGCCGGGGAAGGACCCTCTCCTATGCTCCTCGTACAGACCCATTGCTTTGCTTAATATGGATCTAAAAATTCTAACCAAGGTCCTGGCGACCAAAAACTTTAATAAAAAGAATTTATAAAAAAAAAAAAATAGTAAATAAAAACACCGGACTTTGGAAAAAATCCTTTACTTGGGAAAAAAACAAAAGAGAAGTTTTTTGACTTATTTCAAGTCTAAACACAAAAAATGTGTCCACCGATGTCATCCCGGTCAATAACGACGTCCAGCGTTGTCTGTGATGACGATGACTCAACACAATAAAACATTTAATTTAAATAGAAATCCTTTTTTTTTAAAACGCCGGCCGCCTTCTCGACCACTCGCGACGAACACCCGCCGCATAATGGCCATTTTGACAGATGCCGGCAAAACATAAACAATTGGGCGGTGACAGCTAGCTCTGCCCAACTGTGTAGCTTTATGTCATCTGACAGTTGAGCCCTGATTGGGCAAAGTTTTGAACCGGACCTGTGGTGAGGTGCAAGCCTTTAGCCAATTAGGGCTTCATAAGGTCCATTGCCTTGTTCAGCGGTTGAACATCGAGCCCAACACTACACTGGGCCGGACGTCTTCTGAGTGTCGATGTGACTGCAATTCTTTTATGTTTCATGCACTTGGACTCCATCAGTCCTCTTGTCCTTCTCCCCTCTTCCTCCTTCATGTCACCAGTTGGAACCGTTTTCATACAGCCGTGCCCAGGCATCCAGAGTTACAATGATACACCCGGGAGAGGTGACACAATGTATCCAGAGATGATTCTTTGATGTGCGGTTCTCGATCTGTCTCTGCCTCGGTTTTGGCGCTCTCTCTCTCTCTCTCTGTTTCTGCTTTTTATTGTATTTTGACAGCGGCCGCCAGTCACTGTCAGATTGCCCAAACAGAGCCGGCAGCTGATTGGCCGCCCTCTCTGTTTGAAGATTTTCCTATCCACTCCTTTAATCAGCTGATCACATATTCGCATAGTGTGCGGCCAGTTTGGGATTCAGATGATGTGACAATCGTCTGCACACCAAACTATTCGGATGACTTCGTATCTAACGTGTTTCTATTTTTCATAGTCTGACCCTGAAAAATTGTGGTTTTGATGATTTTATATGTTCTTTGTTACATTTTTGACGATATTATAATTTAAGCTTGCAGGGTGGCGAGGGGAAATTTGAAGGCAATTTCAGTAAAATTTCGGTAAATATTAAACTGCAAAGTTCACTGAAATTGGCCAATTATAACTAATCGCAGCACTGAGACAATTGTCCCGCCTCCCCCCAACTAGGGTTGCCACCTGTCCAGGATTCGCCCGGACAGTCCGGGTTTTGAATGCTGTGTTCGGGTTTCATGGCAGCAGGAACCCGGACACAAGATGTCAGGCAGACGGGGGCAACCAAAATTAAGATAGGGGCTACTGGCCCCCCCACTGAAAATAGTCTCAACTGTGATATTTACATATGAAAAAGCCACCACTCATTCTCCCCCAAAAATGTCGCTTGAGTGTTTGGGTTTTGCTTGAAGAAAAGGTGGCAACCCTACCCCCAACTGAGACGGTAACAGTGTCATATGTTGTATGATGTTCAGCCCATTCTCATGTGGGGCCCCTCAGTGTGGGTGTGATGTAATGTGGCATTCACACGTGTGTCACAGGATATTCACATCCAGCTGTACATTTGACATGTATGTGTGTAGACGGACGGTGACTGGGAGGGGCCACAATTAAGGAATAAAGGAGAATTAGGAAAAAATGAAAGTGAAAGAGAATTCTTCAGACATTGAGCTGAGAGGACGGGCCCCATACTGACACCCCGTACACTGCTCCCTTCTACACCATGGGGGACAGACCGTACCCCTACCCTGTGGCCCTACACTGGACCGAGGCAGCTGAGAGCCTAAAAAAAATGAAAAATAAACTTCTGCTGTATTTCCAGAAGAGGAGCGAATCTAATGGAGGAGACTGTGAGATCCCAGACACCGACTGCAGCCGGGGATACGTCCTTATACACTTCAAGGAGGAGAAAGGTAGGTAGCGGGGGAGGGGGGGTATTATCATAAGGTAAGTACTGGAGGGAGATCCTCATACACTACCAGGAGGAGACAGGTAAGTACTGAGGACTGGAGGGGGATCCTCATACACTACCAGGAGGAGGCAGGTAAGTACTGAGGAGTGGAGGGAGATCCTCATACACTACAAGGAGGAGGCAGGTAAGTACTGAGGACTGGAGGGGGATCCTCATATACTACAAGGAGGAGGCAGGTAAGTACTGAGGAGTGGAGGGAGATCCTCATACACTACAAGGAGGAGGCAGGTAAGTACTGAGGACTGGAGGGGGATCCTCATACACTACAAGGAGGGGGCAGGTAAGTACTGAGGACTGGAGGGGGATCCTCATACACTACAAGGAGGAG